CACTAGCTCAGATGTGTAACCAGCAGTTTAGTTCTGGATACTAGGCAAGTACCAAAAGCTTCAACTCAAATAAGCATCTGGGCTTATCCAAACTTTTAATCTGGAGATTGCACCTGAGCAAAAACTAATACAAATATTCTGGATTTCCAACATCACAAAAAGCAGCTGCTTTTGCAATGTAGTGTCACCTCCTTTAAACCAAAGGCTTAGAAATTATATCTAAATTTTCTGTTTTCAGCAACTTACCTTTTGGCAGGATCAGTGCAATTTATTTCTGAGGCTCACAAATTGGTGTTTGTACTGTCTGCTATGTTTAAAGAGATCTTTTAAAATAAGCAGAACTTTAGTTTCACTGAAGTAGTTCTCCTGATACACTTGCTCACATTTTTTTTTCCTCCTTTCTGTGTCTGTTCAGTTCCAAGAAAACACCAGAAGAATCTGTGGTACCATGATATACAGCAGGGTAGGGAGAGTTTCTGGTAGCAAGAACTATAAGAGAATTCAAGGATGAAATTGTTGAATTAGTGATGACAATGTGTAACAGCTCATATAAAACTGCTTTCGTACCGAAGGACTGGAAGGTGGCAAATGTGCAAGTTTTTAAAACCCATTCCATGGAGAATGTAAGCTTTTGGGTGGCATAATTTTGCCAGGCAAATTAATAGAAACCTCAGTAAGAATAGTGTAAAAGGACACCTCATACTCTAAACTGCCTATAAAGTGTCAAGATCATTCCTTTTTAAAGACAAATCCTTATTTACAAACCTGTTTGTAGAGGTCAACAGACACATGAATAAGGATGTTGTAACTGACATACTTGGAATTACCAAAAAGGATTTCACAAAACCCCTTGGCAAAGATTTTAAAGAAAGCTAAATTGGCATCCTGGCATGCCAAAAAGATACTTGTGAGGTATGTGAGCTAAGGAAGTTTGCCAGTGGTGAAGTTCTGCAAGGCAGTGAGGACAAAGAATGACCAAACATTATGAAAGACCTTAATGAGACTGAAAAGCCAGGCAATAAATGGTTGATGAAGTTCCATTTAGAGAAATGTAAAGTGATGACAGACAAGGAAAACTTCACATAGACCATAATGTGCTATGAATCGGCCCTTAACACTTGGGAGTGAGTCAGTTTTATAACAGTGATTCCATGAAAGCATCAGCTCAGAGTTCAGTACTGATTCACCCTGAATATTGTATACGGTTCCAGTTCATGTCTTCAACATGTTTGATTGAAGTTGTTAAATTGTAGAATTGAGAAGGGGAACGAGGATGCTCAAAGGAATGGAATGATTTCCATGCACAGAACGACTGGGTAACACAGAGATAACTTGGGATGTGGTACAGGTCTTATAAAATTGAGTTGTATGGAGCTATATTTAAACAAATAGATTTGTTTCTTGACACAGAAGATTGTAGGCATTGGAACTCAGTGCAGATTGTTTTACATCACTTCAAGGGGTGACTATGCATGAGAAAGTCACTGTGTTTTAACAAATACACAGAAAACACCTGGCTCTGGAAAATTTTTGGTGGAAAAATATGTGAACCTTGTGAAAATAATTGGGGGAAATAAGATGTATGCTTGTGCTGCTCCTGTTCTTCTCTTGGTTAACTACATATGATTGTTTTGAGTGATAAAATGATAGCCTAGATGGAACTTCAGTAGAGTTTAGCAAGTCTATGCTTTTGGATTATCTGTTGCTACATTTGCATTTTAAAGTGCTTTGAAAGTCATCATTGCCAGTCTCGGTAGTTGTAGAGTATGTCTTCTGTTCACATGTTCTGAAATCAGGAAACAAAGTAGTAGTAGATTACTGCTGAAACCTGTCTGGATTCTGTTATTTCTTTCACACTTCAATAGTTTGGGTGGTTTTAAGGAGGCCCTTTACAAAAATGTAGCATCTTCAACTTGGAAAGGCATTTTTAAATTTAAGTTTTTATTAAACCAATTGAGATAGAACAAGACTAAAAGGTTGTTAAACTTAGTTATGGCTTCCAGAGCACTGTGAATTTCTTTATTAATTCCTCCTGTAGCATAAACAGCGTAGTGCAGATTTTTATTTGCATTTGTGATAGCTATTAGCTTCTGTTACTATTTTGTTTTATAGAACTGGTTTTTAAATACTGGTGCTCCCCACTGCGCAAAGTATGCTGCGTCATTTTCTAACACATACCTCAACAAATTACTCTCTCCCTTTCTTCCTCCCGTCCTCACTGCAATGAAGAGGATAAATTTGTGTAGCAATCTGAGATCAGTTTACCCTGCAGCATTAATCTTCTAACAGAGAGATACTTTTATATTTTTCCAGCATGCTGTAATCCACCCCAGTTTCTGATATATTTAAAACCTATTAATTGTTAATGTTGCACTTCTTGAATTCTAATCATGACCAGACTACATGCGGGGCTCCGGTTTGGGAAAGATCATTAACCGCTCCCCTGGGGTTCCTGAGTGGTACTTTCTGGAGGCAGTGTGAGCTGTATTATTTGTGTAGATTTTGTCCTTGTGTTGCTACATCTGTTTGAAACTGGGACTTTGTGCATAGCCTGCTTTATATGGTTTTGAACTGCATTGCCTAATGCTAGCGCTGTGGATTGTTATCTGGAAGGCACAGAGGAATCATTGATCACTGCTTCTTTTTCCGTTTTTATTTTTTCAAACGGGACTGCAGACGCTAGTGGGTGTTTTTGCTATTTCTTTTCACCGATCTCAGACACTTCAAATGGTTGAGGTACTTTTCAGCTTTACTCTTTTGTTCTAGATTATCTGATCTAACAATCAGTAGTGAAGTTGAAAAGCAAAACATATCTTTAAGAAAAAAAACCTCTATTCCTTAATGATACAGCAACCTTTTAATATATATTATAAATGTAGTAATATATATTGACTGGCATATCTATTATAAAATGGATGCTCAAAAAACTTTTAATCTGCATGTATAATTGTGATATATTATGCATGGTGATGCAATAAATGGTACAAGTCAGAAATATAATTTATTTTAATATATTTAAAGCTTTTAAACCTTGGACTGTCAATATATTCTAGAAACAGAGGGACAGGAAACAAGGATATTTTAGGGTTTTTGTAGACGTCATCATATTCATTGTAACAACACTGTGTTATTTAATACAGTAGTTCATTCTAGACAATGTGGTTTTAGTTTTGTAATTGTCTAAATATGGTACCCCTATGACAATGAAATACAGTATTTAATGGCAAAAGCTGATAAAAATTATATCATCTCTCCAGAAAATTTGTTAGCAATGACATTTACAAACCCATGTTTTTGGTTTAAAAGGAATGTAGCAAGAAACCTATGTAGCTGAAGTCCAACAAAAGTGTTAGGTAATAGATTATCAGAGAATGTCTCCTTAGTCAGACATGATGCAATATGTTTTTCCTGAATTTGTGTATTTGCGTGTGTGCATGTATGTGAAAAAAATCTTCATTAGTGCAGGCTTCTCTGGAAGCTTAAGTGTGTACTAAGGGAAAATTGAAGTCTTTATCCTCAGGCTTAGAAAGTCTGGAAGCCGCTAATTTACTGCTGTAATTCTTTAACTAATGAATCAGTAACTTCAACTTTTACTCTCTTCCTTTCTTAAGTCAGCTTAGTATCAAATATGTGATGTGTACCACCCAAGATTAAACAACCATGTTTGGTTTCTTCAAATAGTACTATAAAGGAAAAAAGTCATTAGTGTGACTGTAAAGCAAGCTTCAGAAAAATGAAACTTTATAACAAATTGAACTATTTTCTCCTGAGCTAGTTTAAAAACAAGGTTGGGAAATGTGCATTTATCTTTTCTTACAGACTTTCATTTTTTGCCCTCTTCTAAATCCATTTCTCATATTAAATAAGTCTGGAGGACCACATGTGCACAGATGCTCATAGGACAATTTGAGTTGAAAGGGACCTTAGAGGTCATCTGGTCCGACCTCCTGCTCAGAGCAGGATCAGCTCTGAGATCAGACCAGATATTGTGTTTTATTTGAATTAGAAATATATGTTTGAGTCTTTTTGAGTCAGGAAATTAATTTTAATCTGTAGCTATGTTACATTGGGAAAAATGACATATTATGCTTAATTGAGACCTCGACACAGTAGCAGTTATAAACTCTGTTTTCTTAACATCCAGTGCCATTCCCCAGCTCTTGCAGTGTTAACAACAGAAAGCTCAGCCATCTTGAGGATATTCTAAACTGGTGACCAACAGGAGCCCTGGTATTTAGCAAAGAGTTGGTCAGTTCCCAGTTCCTGAAAATGTTATGTTGAATTTAAGATTAATATATTCGGTGCTTCACTTACCTCACATTTTTCACAGTGTTAAAATGTTTTCTGTAGTATGATAACTTCAGTACCCTTTCCTGGTACAAAAACTCCCTGCGCGCTCCTCCAAACTGCAGCCTTCACACAGGCTCTGTCACTCATCACTTCTGCATGGAAATGTTTGGGGATTGTGACCTTTTTTCCCAGCAAATGGTATTTCTAGTGCAGTCTGTAAAGGACCTCCTCTCACAAAGAGGTCTCCAGGAGAGAATATTTTCTAAATAAATGCTAATATCTATCACTGAGCAGAAAAACAAGTAGAGAGAAATGACAGTGATTTGTTAGGGGACAAAAGTGGTTTCTCGTAATGTGTCTGTTGGATCAGCAGGTGATAGGGAAAGGCTTTCAGGCGTCTCTCTGCAATTCAGATGTGATAGCGGGTCCCCGCAGCACAGAAGATGTGCAGGGTTGGGAAAGGAACAGTTTAGTAGCCTGGGGATGGCAGTACCAATGGAGCTGCCTTTTCTTCATAAGTTCTGGCATGCTACCAATTTCCTAACCTGTGTTAAATCTAATTACTATGAGGGCTAAAATGTTATTTCCTCCTGTTTATCTCAAAAAGAATAAAAAGAAAAAGCCTCCAGCAGAAAATGTTATTTTTTATTTTTATTTTGTACTGTATATTGCCCTAAAAAGTTGTAAATTGATTGTTGCTTGTTCTTCAGATGGATCCTGTGCAAAAAGCAGTCATAAACCACACATTTGGAGTGTCCATTCCCCCAAAGAAGAAACAAGTAATTTCCTGTAATGTTTGCCAGCTTCGCTTTAACTCTGATGTGAGTATTGGCTATTTTAATTCCTTTTTTTTTTTTTTTTAATCCCCTTTGCCCCCCTGGTAGATTAGGTATAATTAATCTAAATCTCTTTTTCTCAAACAAATCATTCCAGTTCTGCCTACATTCTGCTCAGCCTGCTAGGCTGATAATTTGTCTACTCAGAGGTGGAAGTCCATAGAGGTACATTGCTCTTTGATTTTCTTGAATGGGTCTGGCATGATATCCAGTGCCACGTCCATTGATGGTATCCCATTTGACAGTCCAGTAACCTCCAAGAAGTACTGCAAAAAGAAATTGAAAAAAAAAAAAAAAAAAAACAAACCAAAAAAAAACACCACCAAAACACAAAAAAACACACAAAGAGAAGAGGAGCAGACAGAAAAGCTTCCATATGAGTTCTCCATGTCATACCTGTCATACCCACTCTTCTTCCAAAAGAAATACCTTTTTCCTGTTGTTCCTCCATTCTTGTTGATAATATGTCTTCTGATTTCTTAATAAAATCACTCTTCAGTAACTTTAATTTTTAATAAATATGAACATTTACTTTTAGCTGTCTTTTTGAGTATGATAAAGTTCAAGGAAACTGTTTTCTGAGGTATAACTAAAAAAAAATGTGTTATAAAAGAGTACATTGACTGATGTTTATATATCCAATTAATGTTTTTCCTGAGTAGCTGGAAAATTAAAGAAAATCATTTAAACTATGTCTAAGAAAATTATGACCTTTGACAGTTTAAAAATATGTGTTTGTTCTGGGAGACTACTTACTAACTAAATTAAGCTAATTTAAAAAGTCCCAAAATTCTCAGATTTTTTTTGTTGATCTCAAGTGTAAGAATAAATCCTTAAGTGATGTGTTTAATATTGTGTGTTTTACTGTTATAATGTCAGTCTAAGAAATAGTTTGTCTTCAAGTAATTGTTGCTCCTAGAGATTCACAGTAAAGCCCCCATACCAATTAGTCTGATTTTCTCTGCCTCTAACATTCCACTTTGAAAAGTGTCTTGTAAAGTGGTTTCCCCAGTTTGGCTTTCTTGTCTAGGCTGGTAAGGATTCTGACGCAGTGCTGTCTTACCTTCAAATTGATTTCTAAATCTGTCATCTTTTGACATGCTTATTAAACTTTCTTTGAAGTGGCAATATCTACTTAGGTAACCGATTTTGAAAGTCATTATTTGAAGCTTAGTTCACATTTGTTTCCTCTTTAAGATTAAGACTGAAGGTCAAAAAACTCTTTCTGCTCTGATACTTGGTCTAGATACCTACTTTTACTGATTAAAACAAAGAACCAATAAAGTTTTTAAAAATTTCCTTGGGCTCCTTGGATCTGAATCTTGTTTCTGAGCCATACCCTACTCCATCACCAGGGAGGCAGCTCAGCCTGTTCCTGATCTTTCTTCTGAGGTCAGGGTCCCTCTGATGGGCTTTGTCCCTAGAGTAGTCGCTCACTTTGTCTGCACTGACATTCAGGTAGACAAACAGCACTTCAGGCAGACGGATTGAATCACCACTTAGTAGCTCAAAACAAAAAAAGAGCTGAGATATTATATCGTTTTGTACCTCTGCCAACCAAGCAATTTTACCTATCTAGACTTACTCGCAGAGTAGAACAGAAAGTGTATCACATTCTGCTTTCAATAGTGGCATCACAAAAGCATGGCATATTATAGCCTTGTTTCTTCTTCTGAGGCAGGTGTATTGACACAGTGTCATGCTCCTATCTTTCTAAATGTGATCAATATGCTCAGTTCTAGTTACTAGGAAACATCATCATCCTTTTGTAATGAATGGTTGAAAGAAAAGGTGAAGCATTATGACAGTGCCACTGTTGGTGATAAAATGAAGTTCCTTACTTTCTACAGCAGTTTGCTTTACCAGGACATTCACAAGCAACCTGGAAATTTGATTTTAGAATGCACTGAGGTTCTAGTAGTGTTATTAATACCAGAAAATACTTAAATATAAATGTAAGTTTCACAAATATTTCATAACCACTTCCAGGAAGATTTGGAGAATGAGTTTTCATAGTATAGCACTTGTATTCTAAAAGCTATCTAGCCTTTCTTCAGATTATTCAGCTTCTTCTGGGAAGCTTACATAAGATTTTAAATATATCCTCCAGGTTCAGCCTTTTGACCTTAAGAGTTATTTATCTGAGTGTGTGTCACTTACTTTTTTTCCTGAGAGAGTAAGATCTTATTTTATTCAGCTATTATTCTCACCCCACCCCAAACCCTCAATAATCTGCATTGTTATAATTTACCAAGGTAATATTAATGGCCTTTCAGCTAAGTTTTGCAGACTCTTAGAGTTCTTTTCTATCTTATTAGAAGCTGCTTCACAGAAATAAAAATCTGGACTCTGCTTGTATTTTTTCTTTTTGGCCCCTTTATAATGTGAAATTATGCTTCAGGGGTGGAATGGTCTTTACAATCCATCCTCTGCTTGTGGACTGGGGAAAATGGAGTCAGATATTTCTGAACCTTGTAACCGCTGAATCTCTCAGTGAATCGGTTCTGCCATGTAACATCCTAAGAATGTATTGAGAGCCTTTCAAGTAGCATCAAACTGTGATAACCTGCATTAAAACCTTGAGCGTGGCACACTGCAGAATGAGATTTGTAGTACAGCCACTTCACACTTGCAGTTTCTTCTAGCTCTATAAAGTTGACATGCTCCTTGTTGCTGATGGGTATTTTGTTCCTTTGAACTTCCTTTGACCTAAATTATGCAAGCAAATGAAGTAAAAATGACAGAAGGAAGCTATTAAGTAGTTTTCTTACTTTTGTTGTCCAAAATTAATTTCAGTTGCACGGTGTTCAAAGATTCTGCCCTGATTCTAGTAGTTCTTTATCTATTGCATGAGCAATCTACAGACCAGTGAATATTCAACTATGAGAAGAACAAAATTGGTTTCCTTGCCTGCAGTCTTTCCCTCACACTGTGGACACCCACTGGTCTGGATCAATAGGCCTAAAACTTCAGACTAGTCAATTTATGGTTGTCAAACCTCCCACTAAATTAATTAAATAAACTGTAAAGGTTTCAGGTTTATTCTGCTAGTGTGTCTGTAGGTTTAGCTTTGGTGAGAGTGTTCTGGCATCAGATTCAGAGGCAGGGATCTGCAGCTATCTGCAGGAAGAGGAAGTCTGAGACCAGGGATGGAAGGTAAAAAGGAAGTTTTTAAAAGGTTATCTCCAACATGGGATTAAACATATCTAATGTTGAAGTGTTGACTTCAGTATTTTGAAAAGTAAAAATTGCTAAGAGCATGCTATTTTTATTCTATCATATTATAATTTGAACAGTGTTTCCTAACTGAGTTCTTCAGGATCTCCCAGTCTCCTGTACTTTTAAAACCGTTTTTAAAAGTACAACCTGAAGAAAACATCTGTGTACAAATTCTAAATTTGGTCTAGTTTTAGACTGATCTGTTTATCCTCTTCTAGAAAAGAAATTATGGGTTTTGACTCGTACTCACAGACATTTGCCATCATACTTTATCTGTCCTTTTCTAGAATTCATTAACTGCAGTTTGGTCAACTGGGGAGTTACGTTTTTCTCATAATTTTTGGCACAAGCAGTTTGAATACCCCTTCCAAGCGCTGTCAAATCCAGGAGAAACTGTATTACAGAAGAGGTGATCCAAAGTCTTGAGAAACAGAAAAATAAAATGCTATTTCTGTGAAGTAACACCAAACTGAAGTTGTTTTAATAGTCTGAACTTTGAGGTCCTTGAATGGGAATATTACTTGTAATAGTAGTATTGACCTGACAACAGTGGTAACAGGTTGCTTCAACAATATTTTTCACATGATCTAGTTAAGATGCTTTAGCTGGTACTTAGAGTGGGATTGGGTGCCTAAACCAAACTGTCTTGTCTTTTGATATCTGAGGTGTCTGGGACATCCATACGAGACTGGTAGACCTGACAGAGGAACTGCAGTTGGAGGTCAGGCAGGACACCTGACAACATCCCAAATTACACTGAATACCTGTTTCTAGAACTGAATCCTTACTTACTTACTTACTAAGTTTGCCTTCTATTTTCTTTTTAATTTCTTTTTTTTTTTTTTTTTTTTTAAGCGAGGGTCAAAGCAGGATTTAGTGAGGGGGAAAAAAGCATTGAAATAAATAGGAGAAAGTTAATTCACCTCAAGATCATGATAGCATAAAACTGGAAAGTTAGTAGAGGTCTCAACAACTCAAAGTGAAATGGCAAAAAAGTGAGGAGTGAATAACGAAAAGGCTTTTTCCTAAACCAGTTGTTAATGATGGTAGATACCAGAAGTCAACTCATGTTGAATTAAGTTGGAAATCTCAATTTAGGGAGGATAGCATTATGAGGATTGGTGGATGAAGAGATTTATTAGTCAGAATATTCAATGAGATACTTATTTCAGCATGCTTAAAATTTGTTCTGTTATGCAGAGGAACATACTTTTTTTGGGAAAACTTTTTTTTAAAAAAAAAGCAACAACATCCATTAATAGTTACAGTTGGATTTGCGCCAGTATATTAGAATAAACACAGGAGTTTCTATCTTTGCATCAAAATACCTGTTAACACCATTTTATCTTTAAATTTCTACATGATGATGAAACAGTATGTATTCCAGTGCAGCAATGAATAGTGTGTCAGTAAAGTTCAAGCTATGGTCTTGTGTTGTTATCCAGCTCATAAAAGATAAGAAATATCTCAGTTATGTTTACTACCACCAGAGACTAAGCAGCAGAAGAGGAAGAATCCTCTTCATGGAACAGATTGTGATAGTGAGTCAGATTTTACGCTTGCTTAAAGGCCACCAGAGCAAGGGACATAACTGTATTCCACCAAGAGGAAGCAAGACATGGTGAGAAAGATCTAGCTTAGCCTTTGGAAAGATTTTTTTTTTTTTTTCCTATTAAGAATTCTGGGATTCCTTCCAAACCCATGATATATCCATGTGGACTATATATAAGCTTTGCTAAATAAGTTTTCATATTAATTACATAGGT